ACCTGCTGGGCTCCAGCGATCCTTCCGCCTCAGCCTTCCAAGTAGCCAGAATTACAGACACGCGCTACCATGCCCTAGCTAATTTTTTTATTTATTGTAGAGATGAGGTCTCGCCAAGTTGCCCGGGTGGGTCGCGAACCCGCGGACTCAGGCAGTGCACTCACCTCGGCCTCCCAAAGCATGGTATTACAGGCTGAGCCACCAAGCCCGGCCTAGCATTTTTTAAATGATGGGGTTGAGGATATTTTTATTTTCTTTTGTAATTTTTAAAGTCTGCAAATACAGAATCTCAGGTATAAGAGAAAGAGAAGTCCATTTTTAGACTGGTCTTTGACTGGGACACTGCAAGTCCTGACCTCAGCCTTGCAAGCCCAGAGCCTTCCCTTGCCTTTCCTGAGCATCCTCCTCAGCTCCTGAGAGTTTGTGTATGCTTCTGTTTGACTGAATGGAAGACTGTGTCGGGCACTGACCTTCTCTTTCCTCTCTCACATACAGCATGGGACGGAGTGGACCTCCTCACCGTGTAGCGTGTGCTCTTGCACTCATGGGGAGGTCCGATGCCACCCGCAGCCATGCCTCCCACTATCGTGTGGGCACCAGGAACTGGCATTCATCCCTGAAGGAAGCTGCTGCCCCATTTGCGTGGGCCCTGGGAGTAAGTATGAGCTTTTAGAAAGGAACTCCTTTTGCTTATGAGGTTCACATGGTGACACCCCAACTCTTTCTTGCTCAGTGTGGCTTATAGATCCCTCACCCCATTTCTATGGGGTCCAAGAGATGGCCTTGAACTTGGCAGGGAGCAATGTGTCAGAGTGAGGTTGGAACAAGTCTTTAAGCGCCATTTCAGACTTCAGGTTTTGTGAACCTCTGATTTATTTATCCCCCTGCGTTCACAGCTCTTGAGAGGCAAGGGAATAGGGAAAAGATCCTTTGATAGGACTCTGTAAGGTTAAGTGGCTCCTACCATGCCCTTTGAGGATACAAAAAGGAACACATCAGTTCTCCATGTAGTAATATCGCTTGCACTAATTCTGTTGGCTGGTCTTTGAGTTGACATGGCATCTTCTTCCAAGACTCACACCATGGGAGGATGTGTTTCATATGTCTTTATTTCATCCTCACTGAAGAAATTATGCTTACCTACAAACCGAGGCACCCAGCTTCTGTTCAGCAAACCAGGGCAGACTCTTAGGTGTTATCCTCGGAATCTACACTTGTTCCTTGTACCCCTGTGATTACCTTTTGACCACATGCCCATATAATCAGTCCTGGGATTAGGATACATGTCTCCTTCCATTTTTATACCTAAATAGTGTGCACTTTATAATAAATAGGAATTATTGCTGTTGCTGCATTATGCTTTCTACCAAGAGATAATAGCTAGAATACTTCTTTTATTTAATAGCACATGCAAGTTACACTATTTTCTTGCTTTTTCCCTTTAAAAAGATTCCTCATTTCCTTCCAATCCCCGGTTATTCCTTTTTTGCCGATCCTTTACCCTAAAGAACCATTCCAGGGATTGGAAAGTATGCTCAGGAAATGATGCAAGTAGAATGCTTGCCTCGTGCATTTCCAATGTCACCTTTGTTTAGCCCAAAGCAACAGAGGAGGGCTGACAGGTACTTTGGGCTAAACAAGCAGCCCTGAAGAAATTATGCTTACCTACAAACTGAGGCACCCAGCTTCTGTTCAGCAAACTGGGGCAGACTCTTAGGAATCCACACTTGTTCAGTGAAAATCCTTGGGGGTGGGGTGGGGGGAACGCAGGGCATGGGGAGCAGGTTGTCTGAGTTTGTGAGGTTCTTTCCTAGATCTTAAGAGGCTTTCATATTGGAAGAATTTTGTCTGGAGAGATTGAAGGATTAGCCAACGCCAACTAAATAATTTGCAAAAATGTAATTTGGTCAAAAAGTGGGCAGGGTGGAGCTTTTTGTTTGCCTCTGTGGTCTCTCTCTAACTTGCCATGTGTCCAGTTACTATTCATTCCCCTAGACCTGGGGATAAGGGGTGAGTGGAGACCCTCAGAGACACCCCGTGGCCCACCCTGTGACTTGGTACCTAGGGAGCATGCACCCTCCTGGTACCTACATCTGGGTCCCCACCGTGAGTGGAGGGTCCAGCACTCCATGGGCAGGGTTGGGGGAGCAGGCAGCTGAGACGCCCTACGAGGAAGTCTGCAAGTGTGGGGACCAGGCAAGAGTGGAGGCTCCAAGCTCACCTGAATTCCCTTAGGAACACAAATTTAGATACTTTAAGACAGCAACTGCAGAACACTTACCCCAAGCACAGGGTCTTCTTCTGCTCACTGGCCCCCTGACCCAGGGCCTGGACACCTGCAGTGGCCGCACAGTCACGCAATCAGTCCTGAGATCAGCAAATGCTACCTCCGGTAATCCTTATCTTTTTGACCTTCCAGAACCCTGTTCCCATGAAGGCCGTGTGTTTCGGGATGGGGAGGACTGGCGACTGAGCCGGTGTGCCAGATGTGTGTGTAGAGATGGGATTGCCCAGTGCTTCACAGCTCAGTGTCATCCTCTGTCTTGTAGCCAGGTAAGGAAGATAACTCAGGCCGCATCCTTCACAGGCTATTGGCATCACTGCTAAAGAACTTGGAGTCTCTCCCAAGAGTATGTCACTAGAATCATAAAGCAAAGTCCATTTTGTTTTCCTTGTACTTTTGGTGGCTATCTCCGAGTCAGTTCTTTTACCCTCAGGAGCTACAGATAGTTCTAATTACCAACCATGTAGATTAATTATTACATAATGAAACTGAATCTTGAGGGCATACACACCAGGAAGCCTCCAGCTTTAATGGCAGATGTTCAAAAAATGTCACACAAAACATCTGGAAAATTCAGTAATATGATCAGATTTGTTATTGTTTTTCAATGCATAAGTTATTCGGCTTTTTAAAGACATATGCATATCTTTGAATATGATTATCCAGGTGTACAGCATTTAATTCTTATAAGATAATGTTTCCAATCCCAGAATTTTCTCTGGGTATATTTAAGGTAGTAGGATCTTGTTCGTATAAAGCTAATATGATTTTCAAAACATTATGCTCTTCACACAAATTTAGAAGAGAAAATCAATTGCAAATAAATGTGTATGCATGGTATTTTATAGTTTTTTCTTCTTCTAGCAGCTTCTATGGATGTTCCATGGCAGTTGACAGATAATCATGAGGGAAGTTTGCCTCCCCTGGAAAAGTAGCTCATTTTTGATCTAGGGAAAGGTGGAAGCCAAATTCAGTTGATACAGAGCAGTACTTTGCGTCAAATAAAATCAATAACATGGTGTACTCTGACAACTGGGCAATATTTTTAAAGGTGACAAAAGGCAATTAGACAAGAAATGCTAAATGCCAAATAAAAGGAAGATGTATCTAATTGAAAGACTAGATTGTTACTGTCCACACTGCACCAACTACTGTGCTCAAGTCTCATCTCTCAGTTCATGTCTTCACTTTTAAGATTACAGATGCATAGATGGAGCAAACCTCAAAATAGTAAGAGCCATCAATGAGAAATCCATGGCCAGCATACTGCTAAACAAACAGAAATTGGAACCATTTTCCCTGAAAACCAGAATAAGACATGGATGCCGACTCTCACCCTTCCTTTTCAACATAGTTTTGGAAATCCTAGCTGGAGCAATTGGACAAGAGAAGGAGATCAGGGGTATCAAAATAGGAAAAGAGGAAGTTAAGTTATCCCCCTTTGCAGATGACATGATTCTATACCTCGAAAACCCAAGAGAATCTGTCTAAAACCTCCTTGCACTGATAAAGGACTTTGGCAAAGTCTCAGGATACAAAATAAATGTGCAAAAGATGGTCACATTTCTATACACCAACAATAAACAAACAGAAATCCCCCCCAAAACACAATCCCGTTCACAATAGCCACACGCAAAAGAATCAAATACCTTGGCATCTTCCTAACCAGAGATTATAAAGAGCCTTAACAATGAAAACTACAAAACACTGCTCAAAGAAATCAAAGATGATGCAAACAAATGGAAAAAATATTCCATGCTCATGGATAGGAAGAATCAACATTGTTAAGATGGCCATCCTACCCAAGGCCATCTACAGATTTAATACAATACCCATTAAATTACCAGTGGCATTCTTCCCAGACCTGGAAATGACAATACAGGAATTCATATGGAAACATAAATGACCATGAATAGTGAAAACAATCCTCAGCAAAAAACAAAACAAAATAGGAGATATCACACTCCCACTCTTTAAACTTTATTATAAAGCTACAATAATCAAAACAGCCTGGTATTGGCACAAGAACAGGCATATAAACCAATAGAACAGGATAGAGATTCCAGAAGCAAAACCTCAATTTCTCAACCAACTCATAGTCGACAAAGCCTTCACCACCAACCACTGGGGAGAGGAGAATCTATTCAGTAAATGGTGCTGGGAAAACTGGCTGACCACATGCAGAAGATTCAGACAAGGCCCCTACCTATCACCATACACAAAAATCAACTCTGAATGGATCAAAGATCTAAGTGTAAAACCTCAAACTATAAGAACCTTAGAAAATGCAGGAGACGCCCTTATGGAAATTGGAACTGGCAACCAATTCTTGACCAAAGCCCTAAATGGCCATGCCATAAGAGATAAGATAGACAAGTAAGACCTCATCAAACTGACAAGCTTCTGCAAAACCAAAGAAACCATCAAGAGAGCAGGGAGACAACTAACAGAATGGAAAAAAATATTTGCTAACTGTGTATCTGACAAAGGCCTAACATCTATGATCTACAAGGAACTCAAACGTGCCAAAACAAACAAAAACCCAGCCCCATTACAAAGTGGGTAAAAGATTTGAATAGATACTTCTCAAAAGAAGTTACATTGAAAAATGCTCAGCCTCACTGATCATCAAAGAAATGCAAGTTAAAACCACACTGAGATACCACCTAACTCCATTCAGGATGGCCATCATCAATAACTCGAACAACAGATGCTAGAGAGGATGCAGGGAAAAGGGAACATTTCTATACTGTTGGTGTGAGTGCAAACTAATACCACCTCTGTGGAAAGCAGTGTGGTGATTCCTAAAAGATCTAAAAATCGACCTTCTGTACAACCCTTCAGTCCCCCTACTGGTAATATACCTGGAGGAACTCAAATCACTGTATGAAAAAGATACCTGCACACACATGTTTATTGCAGCATTGCTCACAATAGTAAAAACATGGAACCAACTGTGCTGCCCATCAAAAAAGGACTGAATTTTAAAAATATGGTACATATACACAATGGAATATTATGCATCCATAAAGAAGGACAAATGATGAACTTCACAGCAACTTGGATGGACTTAGAGTTTATAATACTGAGTGATCTATCACAGAAGCAAAGAACCAAGTATCACATGTTCTCAGTCATATGCGACCTTGATCAATTATTGTAATACCGTAAGAAAAGTTTTGGCAGTAGTGGGAAACTGCCCGGAGGGTTAGTAGGGGGGTGCAGGATTGACAATAGTGGGAATCTGCTGGAGGGGGGCACACCTCATCAACAAGGGTACCTGCATAATGAACATTTGTACACCTAGCTTGAACTGTACCCCACATCTTTAAAAATAAAAAAAAAATCTACACTATGTTGTTATTCACTGTAGTCACCTTACTGTGTAACAAAACATCAGAATTTATTCTTCCTGTTTAAATGTAAGTTTGTACCTATTGAACAACCTCTTCCGTTCCCCTCACTTCCCTCCCCAGTGGCTGGTAACCACTATTCTACTCTCTACCTCTGTGAAATAAACTTTTAGTTTAAAAAAAAGAAAGATTACAGGTGAGCTTGTCAGTAAAGTTGCATAATATCTTGCTCTATTGCTCTTAAATTTGGAGGCCACCAAATTGTTGAGGCATTTTCATTAAGTCTATTATGGGGTTTAGTCCCCTTGTATAGTAAGGGTAATTAAACAGTTTTTACCATAACAATAAAGGGGGTGGGAATGGAGGGAGCACCCCATTGGGTAATTCTTACTTTAAATTTTCAAAAACATAAGCACAGAATGCATATTAGGAAAGCAGATTTTGGAATAACTGAAAGTGCTATTTCTAGTCTTTAAAACGTTACACATCAACTCTAGCTTCATGTGCAATAGTCACTTATAGTTTGCATTGATATACATAACTAATGTAAAAATATGAAATTTGGTACCATACAGAGCTAATTAATATGTAAACATTCTGAAGACTTGGAACTAGATTGATATTAATTACTCTTGTATCATTATATAATATTTTTGCCATGACAGATCATTTAAAATCATTTTTCTTGATTTAAAATCACTATTAAATATTGGCTGTTCTGATGATATAAAGGGGTATATAATTGGTGCTATTAATGGAAGATATCTCCCACCTTGGCCACCACTACCACCATCACCATCATCACCACATTCTACATGCTTACTATGTGCCAGCCATTTCAAGAGCTTTGTGATTTTCATAACAATCCTATGAAGTAGAAGTTGTTATCATTTTCATTCTATAGCTGATAAAACTGAGATAAAAAAGGGTTACTAACATATAGTGTCAGCACTTGTAACCCAGGCAGTTCCACATTTTAATCTCAGATGACTAGGTATGCCTGACTCATATTTTTAACCATCATGCTATGCTGTCTCCCAAAATGATGAATTATGCAACATTTATGTGTAATAAGTCATAATAATTATATTTGCTAACATCATTAAGCATGATTTCAAGTATTTTAGATGTGTTATTTCATTAAGTATGAGGAAAATACAAGTTATTCAGTAGAAATGGATTTCCAGGCCTTGAACTCTAGAAAAACTTGAAACCTGCAATAATTTTCATGATTTTTAATGTAAGTTTATTTTTAGTTACAAAAATAATTTTTTACTCTTTCAGGAAAGTTTGGAAGAGGCAGACAAGTAGAAAGAAAAATGATCACCCATATTTCTACCATTCAAAAAGATCATGATAGATTTTGAGAGGGAGCATAATTCATTCCAGTCTTTTGATATGAAATGTGGATATGACTGTTTACATAGTTATAGTCATATTTTAGAAATTAGTGATAATCCCTCACTAAAGGAGACACTAGGTTAAAAAAGGGGGTTATTCTTTTAATGAGGAATATACATTCCTACTGAAATTACCTGCTTTCAACTTTTGTCCAGATACCTTGTGAACAGAGCCACGACCTTCCACCTTTTTGTGAGCTCTCTAAAATGATCTGTTCAGTCTAATGAGAGTTGTTTGATGACATTATCACCAGTGTTTTTTTCATACCACAATTTTTCCGTTCCTAATATGTATTAATCTGAGTAGTTTGACCTTCATCTTTGGACATTTTTCCAAGGAAGTAGATGATTGGTAAGTCTTCTGAGGCTCTAAGTGTTGGAGAATTGTTTTTCTCTTGCCTTCATACATGAAAGACAATTTGGAGGGACCTCTAATCTCTTCCCATCGAACCCTATGGACTCCTTCCTGCCACAGAGGCGAAGTCTGAGGTGTGTCTGTTTTCTATTCTATTATATGCATCTGATTCCTCTCTGTTGCATTCATGGTAGGATGTTTCTTTACTATAACTCAGACATCTTTCAGAATATTTCTAGATGAGGCATCTTTTCATATATTTTGCCTGGAATATTGTGTAGCTCTTTCAGACCATATTCCAGTTTTTGAAATGTTTTCTTCATATGGCTTCAATTAACCATGTCTGTTGCAGTTACTCTCATCTTTCCACAAACACCTATGACTCTTAGGTTGCTTCTTTCTCTTCCGCCTCTTTATCAATCGTGTTCTCTCTCATCATTTTCACTTTGTGTCTTCCGTCTGCTTATGAGATAGAGTTTTTTAAGTTGATATTTAGTATCTCCAGTATGGATTTTAATTTCACAAGTTTGCTTTAATTTTCTTTTGTCTTCTTTATCTCCTGTTATTGGTTCATCTACTTTTTTTTATCCCAGTGTTTATTCCTTCTTCATTGTTTCCTGCTTCTATTTGATAGATTGTCTATCTCTGCATCTTACTGAACTTGCAAAATGGTTTTCAAACATTTTCTTTGAGATCCTGTAGTAAATAATGTTCAGAAGTCTACTCTTTCACTCACTCTTCAGAATGTTATGCTTTTTCCTTTGATGGGATTCAGGACGTGGTACTCCAAAATATAGTATCTTGACATATTAAATATTTTATCAGAAGGAATTTGAGGAAACAGCAGTAGCAGAAAGGTCACTTTGACCTTCTCCCACCCCTTCTCCCTTGAAGTAGGTCATAAAACTTAGGAAGGATTTTCAAATATCCCCCTGAAGCAGTCTGTAAGACTCTCATGTGAGAGGTGCTCTCTCTGTACCTGCACAAAAGGAGCATTTTTCTCTCCAAAGACACAGGGACAGAGAAGAATCTGAACAAGTGGGCTTGCTAAGTTTCCCCCAGTTTGTTACCATGAGATTACAGTTTTGCTCTATTCTATTTCTCCACGACTGTCCATTCTGCATCAGACTTATGAATAAAAGGTGCCCAGGCTTAACTGTTTCTTTGGGTCTTTATTTCCTTATGAAGGTTTCTGTATGGTGTGAATTTTATAATAAACAAATGTATATGCTTTTCTCTCGTTAACTGGTCTTTTGTTATAGGGGCCTCATCCATGCCTCTAGCATGGGCAGAAGGAAAGATATTTTTCTTCTCCCACATCATTCTTCAGGGATTTTCCCCAAGAAAGGAAAGGTTTTTCCTTTCTATTTACTCATCCTTGATCAAGAGAAGTCTGTCCAGACCCACTGCTTGGAAGCTGCCAGGACATATGGGTCTACAGCCAGATGCTGGGAAGCATGCTCTCTCAATCAAGCACCCACTGGCAGGTATTCACTGGATGTGGCTTTGCTGGCTGAGACCACATCTCCTGTTTCCACAGCCCAGCCCTCCACATCCTCAATACATGGAGCAGGAAGATGTGATCCCAGTGTGCACTGCCCTGAGGGCTCTTTCCATCTCTCTGTGGCCTCTGTATTGTGGCACCCTCTTCCCTGTGGCTTTTGTCACTCATTCCACCTCCCTAACACACATACTTCCTTCTTTTTTACTTTTCAACATTGTGGGTTCTGATGAGATGTAGAAAGAAAGTTACTGAGGGAGGTGAAAGACTAGGACTACCAATCATGTAGTTCTCTTGTTTCCTGGATAGTTTCTCTTTAGATGCTATTTCTTCCTATTTTGGTTGCTTTACATTTGTGAAGAAAGATTCTCTTTTGATCAATAAAGTACATAACTAGGAATTGTCAATAAGATTTGGAAATCATGATTTCCATCATACCAGCTACTATGCAAGAAGCATCTCCTCCTGCATCTGCTTAGTTGATTGCACTGCAGTCCTTAGGTCTGCTTTCTGCCTCACGTTGGTTGAGATAGGTGGATACTAGCTCTGTGACTATTCAGGAGTAGTTGTGACATTTGTTCTCTGTTTGTCTGACACAGCATAAGGCTTAGTACATTTGTTTATTATAATAACATTACTGGATAGTGTGACATAAGATATACCTTTATTTTACTTTGTCACTAAAATTTTGTTAAGCTGAAGAGTTCTGTCTGAGGTCAAGAAATGCTAAATGATTTCAATGCAAGTCTGATTGTCACATATTCTGTTAAACATCAATGGTCATAATACATCGCTTACATGCATATAAAATAATGAAGAAATAAAATAACCTAGAACGAGAAAACAGTTGTCAATTTAATTCTAATCATTCAGGCATTTGAATAAATCCCTGTTACATAGTAATGCATGAATCCAACTGATGGTATATTACTGGCTTTAAAAAAACCACTGAGGTATGACTGGAACTTTCCAGGAAAAATGAAGGTTATGTGATCTCCCTACCAAGTATATTGGCCTTCTTGTTCTTGCAGAATGAGTATCAGAGTAACTGTGATAATACAATCTCATTTTTCTGTTTCTCAGAAGGCAAGGGCGACTGTTTGGGAGGTACTCTTTACATGAGACCTACAACTCAGTCATGGAAACTTGGTTTGTTCTCACCTCCCTCCTCTGTCTGTAGTTTGACATTCTGCTCCTGACATTGAAGACGTCTGTAGTGATAGGTTGAGTGAAAAGCCGACTCTGGCAGGAATGATGCTGTTGCTGTGAAAATTCTTTTTAGGGCAGCAGAGACAAATGGGCTGATATTCTGGGGGTGGTGGTAGCAACAGAGGTGAGAATGTAGGGATAAAGCAGTTGGAGGAGGCTCTTTGGGCATTTAATCTCCGTCACCACCTTTCTTTGCACTGACTTCTTCCCAGGTGTCTGGAGATATGATTGATTTCTTTTTCATATTAAGGACCTTCCCAGTGAACATATACAAATATATGCATTCATATAAAGATGCAGAAGAATAGTGAAGTCGCTTATCAAGAAAAGGACCCCCCTCACCTTTGAGTTTAAAAGTGACTCAGCAGAATTAGGACTGTTCTCAAGTGTTGGCGAGAATGGGGCTCTGAAGTCCTGCTACCAGCCATTACCAGATCTGCTGTGTAACCTTGGACAAGTTACATAACCTCTCTGGTCTTTACTATTCTCATTTATAAAGCAAGGATAAGAACATCTACTCATAGCATCCTCTGGAGCACTTAGAACAGTGTCTGGCAAACACCAGATACTATTATTATTGTTATTTGTGTTTTCATTTGGTTTTAGCAGAGGACAGGACCAAAGGAATGTGCAAGTTCCCTAAGGGTCACATTGACTTTGTAACTGCTCATTCTTATCAGAGCCCAGGTGACCCATACGTGCTAAACGAGAGGAAACAGCTGTCATGGAGGCTTGGGCATATGACTTAATTGACGATGAATGAAATTTTCCTACTCTTGTGATTTTATTACTATCTCTTTTTCATGAATTGTTCCTGTTTTGGGTATTAAGGATGAAACAGTCGTCCGAGTTCCTGGAAGATGTTGCCCACAGTGCTCTGCACGCCCCTGCTCTGCAGCTGGTCGAGTGTACGAGGTAACCTTTGATGAGCCATGGGGGTGTCTTGACATGTGTTTGCACACATCTGCCTTCTGCCCTCCCAGCCCCGCACCTCCCACCCTCATTTCTGACACTTTGCCAGGGTTAGTAACTCAGTACATAAACAGCTTTTTTCTTCTCTTCACAGAAAATCTGTATGAAGAAATTAAGTTGAAGGGAATTAGAAATATAAAGGAATGTGCTGGCAGCAGTATTGGGTTCACGAACTTGGGTGAACTCACTGTTCACACATCTTGAAGGGAAAAGGGCTATCATTGGCCACCATCTGTTGACACTTAGCTTTAGGGCGCTAGGAATGTCTCTTGTCTTTGGTTGGATTCATGCACTGATATCCAGAGACAATCCCCCTAACACCTGCCCTACTTTAGACTTGGGGAGACCCGGGGGACATAGGGGAGGGAGGGAAAGAGGAAGAGGCAGTTGGTGGTGGGACTTGCCTAGTCAAAGGTACTATCTGGGTAGTCCAGACAACTGTGCCATAGGAGACACCAAATGAAGGTAAAGTCAACAAATAGAATGAATGAACAAATGAAGAGTGTGTGAGTGAATGTTCTGTCTTGGGAGTGCCCAGCTGAGCCAACAGAAGGTTACATTATTCAAAAGCAAAGTCTCTCTCTCTCTCTCTCTCTCTCACACACACACACACACACACACACACACCACTCAACCACTTTTCTTATATTCCACCACTGTGGCACATAACATCAACAAGTGTACTTGATCTCAAACCAGGCGGAGTGGAGACCAAAGGAAGGCCCAAACTTTGCCTGTATAATGACCACTTGTATACTTAATCCTGAATTGGACCTCACATCTTGAAAATAAAAAAAAAGACTAATTAGAAACTGGAATTATGACTCTTGGTAGAACATAGAGAACTGTTAGGGTATGGGTATCTCACAGATTCTAGATGGGTAACTTGAAATATGAGTGAAAATATATGAAATATATATGAAAATATGAGGAAAGGGTTTTTGTGTGTGTCCAATCTGTGCTGACACAGTAGCCACGTGTGTGACGTGTATCATATTTTTACTGAATGATTGTGGTAGGCTGATTTCTTTTGGCAGAGACAGGCTTTATATCTGTAATAGCATTTTTGACTGCAAGTGACAGGAATCCCACTCTAAAAGTGGATAAAATGATAACACTTATAATGTCATGTAACAGGAAGTCCAGAGGTGAGTCCCCTGCCGGGCCAATCAATCCCATCCAGTGATGACTTCAAGGATCTGAGCTCTTCTGACCTTTCCACCCCACCACCTGCAGCATGTTGGCATTTGCCTTTTATTGTGTCCCCTCATGCCCCCACAATGGCTCCCCAGCCCCAGGCACCATCATTGCTAAAGGCTGGTGGTGGGCTTTCCTTCTTTTATGTGAGTGGAACTCCATCACTCTAGCAAATACACCCTGAGGTCCCCTCGGGTGGGATTGGGACAATGTCTGTGCCCTAGCTACATGGGAAGCTGGGAAAATGAGTATGTGACAGTGAGAGCTGGGTCTCCTGACAAAGAAGACTAAAGAATAACCATAGATTAGCCAACCAGTGGGGTCCTCCTGCCCATCTCAGTGTTCACAAGGTTTCTCTGTGCTTGGCACAGAATTGGCCCTCAACACATCTGTGGAATGAACATAGTCAAAGGGAAATCCAAAGTCCCCTTTGGGCATTTATTGACTGTTTTCCTGGAGACTGTTTCTATCTAAATGTTATCCTTTCTCAAGAGTACATTTAATGTGGCTTAGTTAAAAAATGAAATAGAAGAGTGGATGCCTTCTGTGTCTTTGTTCTTCTTTGATGTATGAAACTTTTGGTTTTCCATGGTCTTTTTTCGTTTCTTCACTCAGCATGGTGAGCAATGGAGTGAAAATGCCTGCACCACATGTGTATGTGACCGGGGCGAGGCCAGATGTCACAAGCAGGCCTGCCCACCGCTGAGATGTGCAAAGGTATTTGAGAGTGTATAACTTGATTTTCTACGTTTTATTCTGGGTCACTTAAGAATGCACCACTTAGTCCTGTGTGCCCTTTGAGGGAATCATATGTTTATTAATGTTTGATGTTACATAGAGATGTGAGCGATCTGCTTCCTAGGAAGGAGGGTCCAGGTGGAGGGGAACTTGCCCCAGCAGCTGGGGGAAGCAGCGGTATAGAGTAGTAGTGTTGTAGGTCGTGCCCTGCTGGCTCGGGGGCTTCACCATCTCCAGAGGACTGCCCTCACCCACCGCTCCCTGTTTTCTCAGGGTCAGAGCAGGGCTCGGCGTCATGGGCAGTGCTGTGAGGAATGTGTGTCCCCCAGTGGAAGCTGCTCTTATGACGGGTTTGTGCGGTACCAGGATGAAATGTGGAAGGACTCAGCCTGTGAGTTCTGCATGTGTGACCATGGCCAAGTGACCTGCCAGACTGGAGAGTGTGCCAAAGTGGAGTGTGCACAGGTAAGAAGCACAGGCATTTTCATTTCGGCCAGCAGGATGGGTGGGCCTACACCTGTGTCTGCCTTCCTTGGCAGCCATGGGCTGGCCAGAGTGACTGCCCACATTTCACGGGAACTTCCAGCCCAAAGATTCCGTAGCGTGAAGGGAATGTCACTGTTTATTCAGACTTGCTCGAAGCAGCCCCCTGTGAAGCTTTTAGTCTCAGTGCATCTGGTCAGACTGGAAGTCCCAAGCTGGAGCCCTGAAAGGGCCAGGCTTGATGTAGGACATTAGTCTGTCAGGCAGTGCAGCTGGAGCTAGGTCCTGGTGGCTGCCCGGCTCACCGTGGCTGTGAGGCCGCGTCCACAGGTGCACTGCTGGCCAGGCTTCTGCTCCAGGCCCCGCCAGCCGCATTTAGCACAAAGTGGAGCCAGCACCTGTGGGGTGCTTCTGTAGACCTGGATAGAAAATAAAATGTTTTGACTTTTTGTTAAGAGAGAGCAAGGGGAGCTTCCTAAACAATTAAGTCTGTTGACTTCTGCCTGCAGAATTTCTAGAAGCTTCTAACAAAGCAACCTCTGTCTGGACTATGGATGTACTGTATGTTGTAGGGAAATTTTTTTTTCTTTGAACTTGAATTTGATCCACTGCGAAACAAATTGCCTTTAAAGTTGTCTTCTTTCCCTCACCGCTCCCTTCCGCCCCACCAGCTTCCCTCGGGGCTTGAGTGGATGAGGGAAATTGGAAAGAGCTAAAGCCCTGGGTGTTGTGAAGGCATTTGTCTTTTTAGTTCTTCTCTCCCATTTCTCAGCTCCTCCTAACACTGAGCCTAAGGAGGAATGGTCTTTCAAATGAGGCTGTTGTGGTGAGGTGATATTTCACTTTGCCTCTTACTTGTAGGTCTTGGTGTGGCTGAAACGTATTTAGGTGGAGAGTCTTGCTTTCTGCAGATTTATTTCCCCCCACACACCTTTTCATTTCTTTTCTTCCTGTGAAGGGAGTCAGAATGGCTGGGGGAAGATGAGAAGAACAGCTAATCAGGGCCCTTTTCAGTCTCTCTCTTGTCAGTCCCCCCTAGGATCCTGGGCTATTTTCTAAGGATTTGATTTATATAATACCCCAGAATTTATGAAAGATGTGGAGGAGGTGATTCTGGTAGGGTTGGTCCTTTAACCATCTGCTTTTAGTCAGAGCTGATCGAAGTCTCAGTCACAGATTAGCTTTTAATGCATTATTCCGGGTGTTAGTGCATTTCCGTGTGCCTGCCTGTCTGCGGCTGTCAGTTGTGACACCTGGCTGTGGTGGCCTATACCAGGTCCTGTTTTCTGTTCCTAGAAAAAATAAGAAGCAGCCGTCCCAGAGGGGAATGCTTCAGTATCCCCCAGGTCACCCATGACACCACCTCACCTTTCCAGTCCCTCCTCCCCCATCTCTGCTTTGATGAGATAAGGAGTCCCAGTGTCTTTGCACTCTCTTCCCAGATCTTTAACCAACTACATTACCTTCTGCCAGATTACCTCCCTGTTGCCCACATTTTGTTGAAGGTACTGGAAACATGGCCAGCAGTGAAAGTTTAGCCAATGGAATCTGATGAAAAGTATCCCTGAGGTCCCTTTGTGAGCCAGACTTCTGTACCAGCTCTGGTTGAGACTTTGGTAAAGCCCGGGTGTCCTGACTCCTAACTTCTACTTGACTTGAGTCACTGGTGAGGAAAAGATGAATAAGACACAGTCTAACCTTAAGAATTCCCAGGCCTTGTGGGAGGTCAGATATGTAAACAGAAATTGAGGCACACAGTGGCACCTACGGTTGTGGAAATGTGAGCTAAATGTTTTAGGGGCTCCTGGAGGAAGTGACTGTCTCCCACGGGAGCAGGGAAAGTGCCCTGTTGGAGTTTTAATTCAATTCTGCCTTGCTCTCTGCCTGCCTCCTTTTCTAAATTATCAAGGTCATGTGATTTCTAATCTTGGATACCAAAGGTGGATTAAGTATAAGTGTGTGCACCTCCACTGAAAGGTGCAGAGAGGTAAACTTCTAGAAGAAAAGGCAAAATTGTGCAGCTTCACAATGTGATAATGATTAATGTGATAATGATCTGACTTGTGTTGGAATCAGCACACAGTTTTTCTTTGTTAAAAAAGGAACAAAATGGACCAATCTTTTGTCTATATCCAACCAAGTCCCTAAATACTGAAACCTAAGTAAGTCATTGGTAGAAGAGCACAATATAATGACTTTTATATTTCTATATTTTGTGTTGTCTTTGAACATGAATTCTGGTTGCGAGACGTCAAATTACCTTTATCAAGAGGGACCTGGCCTTCATATCCAAAGCATAAGTAGCCTATGGGCAGGGTGGGAGGGGTGGAAGTAAAGTGCTCAGAAGCAGGCAGGAGCCGTTGTGTGAGGTGCTGACCCTTCTCCAGCAGAGGTACATTCTCTTGCAAGAGTGTCTCCTTTTCCAGCGGGTATGTTAGTTGAATCACGGTCTTTGGTTGGTGGATGTAGGTATGATTAGGTGGGCGAGGGGAACAGGTTTAGTCTGACCTGTTCTACAGCATCCTCTTGGAAAGAATAAGTTTGTTTCACAGAGCAGTTTTGCTCAAAGCAGAAGTCAGATGTGAATTGGAGCAAGCTCCCCACTGCAGTGAACTAATGGGCTTGGGCGTCTAGGCTGCTGCTGTAATAGCACATCTGTTTGGAGCATCCCACCTCCAGAGACTGAACCCTGGTTCAGCAAAACAGGGCTCACTTGTTTTTTTATGTTTTGTTTTGTTTTTTGAGTTGGAGTCTCACTCTGTCACCCAGATTGGAGTGCAGTGGCTGCTCCTGGCCACTGCAGCCTCGACCTGCTGGGTTCCGGCAATCCTTCCGAGTAGCTGGAACTATAGGTGCACACTACCACGCCCGGCTGATTTTTTATTTATTGTGGAGATGAGGTCTCGGCAAGGGCTCGCTTGTTTATAGTGGCCTTTAAAACTTGAGAACAGGTGCCTTCTAGGTCTTACCTGGGTGAAGATCCTTTTCCCGTTTTGTCTGTATGTTTTTTAGAGGATGCTCAAGAATCTTTCATGCATTTTGTCTTTATTAGAAGTACATATAGCCTGTCTTGTTTCAAAACATTCTAGGTGTCTCAGATTTCATGCATATAAACCCCTTTATATGCTTTGGAAGTAAGTCTCAAAGTTTCTGGGTTATGCCTTCACTACAAGCTGATTTGTCACGTTTCTGCTAAACAATTTATATGTAAATCTGTCTGCTCTCTTCAGCACCTGCTGGCTTCGATTGATGTGAAATTTTGATGGACAGTAATCTATATAATTTCCAAAAAGTTATAGTCAGTTATGTGTCTTTGTGTTTCTCTTAAAAGTTCATATTTTCCCTTGTTTAAATAATACATACTAGCCGGGCTTGGTGGCTCAAGCCTGCAATCCCAGCATTTTGGGAGGCTGAGGTGAGAGGATTGCCTGAGCCCAGGGGTTCGAGACCAGCCTGGGCAACTTAGCGAGACCTCATCTCTACAATAAATCAAAAAATTGGCTGGGTGTGAAAGCGCGTGCCTGTAGTTCCAGCTACTTGGAAGACTGAGGTGGAAGGATCACCTGAGCCCAGCAGGTAGAGGCTGCGGTGGCCATGAGCGTGAAACTCCAACTCAAATAAATAAATAAATAAATATATAAAACTCATTTTGAAGACTCAAGAAAAGTAGAAAAGAGACTTAAAAAGCCCATCCATAATGTTACCAAAGACATCCAGTGCACCCAAAGACAACCAATGCTTTCATAATATACTTTAGTATATTATTTTAAAACATAAAATATTGTTATTTTCTTTATGCAAGTTTACATTATTGATTTTTCATTTAACATGGTTTCTGTACTTTTAAATATAATATAGACCTCAAATTATATATTTAGAGAAACACTACCATTCTTTAGAAAGTGGATTTAACTTTAGAAAGTGATTCAAAGAATGTACTTTAGCCTATAGATATTATATGTTAGTGTATAATACTAACATAGATTATATGCTAGGGTATACATATGAAAAATTGTAAACAGATAATGTATTTTTTATATCAGATTCCCTGAGTGGTAGGACTTCCATGGACTTATACTTTCTAAAGTATAGATTTCAGAATTATTTTAAAAATTTATAAGCATTTGTTATTTTATGATAAAATAATAGTTCTGAAATTACTGAGATTGGGAAATGAAAGTTGTATAGCTTTGAAAGTTATCTACCTTTTAAGAGTAGCATTTCTTTCTTCTTATAATTTAAAAAATAATTTTACTGTGAGTAAAATATTGAGTAAAATTTAGTTTTCTACTGCTGAATTTATGCCCAAGATTATGTCTGTGTTTAAAAAGATGTGTCTGATTTTGTATTCAGGGGAAAATATTAGCTTGATTTCAGCACTCTTAATGAAACCAAAGTCACAAATTGTATGTTTAAGGAGCATAATCCTTTTCTGAAACTCATAACTTTCCAAGCAAGACTATAACATTACCCTTGCCATCCTTCTTACTCATGTGAGCTTCTGGTCATGGGTAGAAAATTATGGAGGGATCTGAGCACAAGTCTCATCAGAAAAGGAAGGAAAAGCATGTGGAGGGGATACTGTGTGGACGAGACTCTCCATAGGAAGGCAGCACGGGGGGGTGGGTAAAGTCAGGAGCAGGTCAGAGCCAACAGTGTGCCAAGGCTTCTCATTCCAGTTAGGGAACCCAGCTGCTTTGCAATTTAGCCCTGCCACCTGGTGATGTTAATTTGATATGTGCCATTGCAACCTTATTTCTACAGGGTGAAGAATTAATTCACTTAGATGGAAAGTGCTGTCCTGAATGCATTTTAAGGAACGGGTACTGTGTTTATGAAGAAAATGGAGCATTGGTGAGTATCAGTCTAATGACTGAAGACTATCAAAATAATTCAAAATTAATCTAATATGGGGACATTACCTTCTCACATCTTTTACCTGTTCATCTGTTCAGCGAATGTTATTGTATATCTGTTGTGTGCTGGATACTAGGGACACAAATGAACACAACAGATAGAGTTTCTGTTCATGGAATGGGGAAACAGAGGACACAACACACATATCAGGTGCTGAGGAGCACTGCTTGGAAGAGCAAAGCAGTGCAAGGTGCTAGAGAGTGGTGGGGCAGGACAGGAGGTGGGTGGGTGGGGTATCCTTTGCCCAAGTTGCATAGCGAAGTCCTCTCATGCTGGGAGGGACAGGAGGCAAGTGGGGGGTACCCTTTGTCCAAGTTGCATAGGGAAGTTCTCTCATGGGGAGGGACTTGAGCAGAGCCTAGAGGAAGGTGAGGGAATGAGCCACATGAAGAAGGGAGATCAACAGGTACAAAGGCTCTGAGGCAAAAGTATGTTTGGCGTGTTCAAGAATTTTGTTGAGCGACAGAATTTTGACAGAATTGAGCGACAGAATTTTGTTGGGCGACAGAATTTTTGTTGGATTTGATGTGAGATTAAACTCTTTTTGCTATGGTTTTATTTCTTTCTGTGTCTGTACTTTTTCATTACTCAAAGTAAAAAATTTATCTCTGCAAATTTGCCCTATTTATGTAGTCTGTATTTTTTATGTTGTGTATTTTAATGTTGATAAATCCGTTGTGTTTTTAAAAACATGGCAATCGATCATGTATACAACTGGACTGACTAGTCAGAATAAGATGACAGCAGCCCCCCCCAACATACTCACCCCGGGTGTATGTTCCAAGACACCTTTGATGCCTGAGCTCGTGGGTAATACTGAACCTGATTGCCATCCATCGGAACACGCTTCCGCTCATGTTTTCCTCCCACAAATGTAATCCCTTTCCATCTTAACTGAGCACTGTGGCTGCAACGTTTGCAGTTTGAGGTGCAACAGCAAACTGGCACACATTTCTTTTTTCTTTTTCCCTGGTTTCAATGATAGAAGATTTGTTCTTACTATAGACCTTAGCAACCTCAACTTGCAATTTTTTTCTTTCCTTATTAAGCTGAGAACTTTCATCTCTTCACTTTAAGGAAGCACTTTACCATTTCTTTTTGGCATATGCAAATTGCCAGCATTACTCCTCTTGGACTCTGGAGCACTATTAAGTAAAATAGGGGTTACTTGCACACAGCACTGCTAGATCCCAGTGGTGGATCTTATCATTGAGACACTGCTGAGTGCCATGCTGCTGAGTGCCATGCATGTGGACACACCGGATAAAAGGGAGGCCTTGCCCCAGGCAGGACAGGGCGGAACTGTGTAAGATTGTATCACACCACTCAGAACAGCTTGCAGTTTATAAGTGATGAATTGCTTATTTCTGAAATTTTCCATTTAATATTTTCCCACCACGGTTGACCATGGGTAACAACTGTGGAAAGCGAAACTGTGGGTAAGGGGGTCCATTATATAAGAACTGGAATTTAGTGCTTTGACTGCTCAGCTAATTCCTATACACTTTCTTTGTGATTTGGGTAAATTCCATCTATCGATCCCTGGTGTTTCTGCATATCCTAGAGAGGCAGAATTGTACAGGGTTGACAGTGTGGGCTCTAGGTTCAGTGCCCTCCCTTTCTATGTGACCTTGTGCAAGTTACTTAATCCCCACAGACAACAGGGATAGCAACAGAACCTACCCTCATGTTGTGGAGATGATGTGTGTAAGGCACTTGGAATAGTGCCTGGCACAAGAAAGCCAACAGTGTTGACATATTTATTTTGCTGTTGGTATTGTTTCATAGGGGTATACCATAATTTAGACATCTTTGTTGAATTTCTGCAATCATAGAATCAGTTTTCCTACCCATTTTTGGAGGTAGATTAAACCCAGTGGAGATAAAGAAAACCAAGTTGTTTTAAATAAGTACAAATCTCCATAATGCCCTGGTACTATACAGACCTGGTCACTGTGTTTTGCCCTTACACATCTGGATCCCTTGACTGTGAAGTTCTTTATATCAAGGGGAATTGAACCTGTGTGGTCTAGCACAAGGTGGAAGTAAGAAATCAAAAATGCTTCCTAGGATGCTGTCCTCGCCTCATATTGGTATGCCTTTCTTGAGTTTGATAAGGTAGATTTTATTTCTGCTTATAACAAGAGAACTTGTATGTTACTTGGGGAAAAATGGGTAACTTCTAATGAAAAAATAAATGTTACCTTGTTTGTGTTTTTAAAAATATTCATAAATACTTTTATCTTTGTTCCTAGATATCCTCAAATGCTGGTGTAGTTAAACATATTCCAGTAAGTATAGATTTGTAACTTGTGCATAGATCAGTATAAAATTGTTTGTAATTATCTGTATGAACTATCATGAGGAAATGCAGTACCTTAGTGTTTCTAACAGCCACAATTGATGGTGCTATGGTCAAGAATTAAGGCTCTTAATGGTAACTTGGACTTTGAGCCATACTTTTTATGCAATTGGTAATTAATACTTCTCTAATGACAAGCTCCTTATATATCCTTTTCTTTTCTTGTCAAGATTTTTTTCTACTGATTTTTTCTGGCCTAGAATACTCAGTTTAGCCATCAGTAGAATTTCATGTACTGCAAACGCTGAAGAAAGACCTTCTTGAGTTTGCCAGTGTTCATTCCCCAAATAACATTGAGTTCATTCTCTGTAGGTTGTCTACAGGACAATGTTGTGTGGTTTATTTTAAAGGGAAAATGCAAGCAAGTTTGTTCACACACGCAATCTTACAATTTTGGAGATTATAGAGTAAGGAGTCAGGAAACATTTTCCACATTTTTATTTTAAAATCTGCTCTCCTGTTTTCCCTCCCTCATCACTCAGGTACATCTGGTAAGAAGCTTGTCTCTTTCCTGCGAGCACAGAGGAGTTGCTCTTTACAATTCACTTTGAATTCTCCATCAAAGCACTAACATTTATTACCATAATGTGCTTGACTGAAAAGAATATTGTAGTGTGAGAAAACTTATGGCACATGGATAGCCCTTGAAAAGTAGCCCTGCAAAAGCTTTAATTTTAATAACACAGTGATTCTACTGTTATTCTTACTGTAGTAACCATAAGGATATTCAGGGTTTTAACCAAGCTTCCCGCTGTTTTTTAGAGAGTACTTAGTATACCTGCTATTCACTAGGTACATAGTAATCTCCCTTGATGTTTTTCGTGAAATAGTTTGAGAAACAAGTTTTAAATACTTCTTATATATTCTGGGAGTCCCAAAATACTTTTACAGTTTATCTATGGGTGTGCCTAAAATCTTTCTGCTGGTGCTCTCTGTTAAAATAAATCAATTATAAACAAAGAAGGAAAAATTCTGTTTTTTAAATGTAGGACTCTTCCTCTGTTGCCCTTTCAGAGTTAGGTTTGGCAATACACTGATTAACTGCCTTCCCTTTGTCCCTATGGAAGTTATGAGTTTTTCAGCTGCAGCCTCTTCTGAATCATGGCATCCTGATGACAATGCCATTCCTTACTGTTTCATGTAGGAGGGAGAGATGTGGGAAGATGGCCCTTGCAAGTTGTGTGAGTGTCAGGGGGCTCAAGTGACTTGCTATGAGCCCTCTTGCCAACCGTGTCCAGTGGGCACACTGGCCGTGGAGGTGAAGGGACAGTGCTGTCCAGACTGCACATCAGGTGGGTCCATGTCCCATTTATTTCTACTGAGATTTACTGCCAAAATATTTAGGGTTTCTCTCTTTCCCTCTCGCTTGCTATTTTTCTTTTTCCACATCACCCATGTTGGTTTGTTCCTTCCTAATTTTTCTAGCAAATGATGCTAATTAATCTTTGTCCATGTAACTGCCAAATTCCACTGATTATGAGTATGTGACCTTGGGCAAGTCATTGACCCTTTCCAAACCTTAATTTTCTTGTTGATAAAATATGTCTTATCTATCTTCCAAAATTATTGTGGAAATCAAACAACATAATATTCTAACACTTGTAGAGGCTAATCTGTCTTCCATTTTTGAAAATATAAGAATAATTGCTCAAAGTTTGTTACAGAGTTTTTAAAGGTATGCTATTAAACAAATGGTTCCTTTTGGAGCTCTCAAATGGGTTTTTCAAGTCTAAAGATTCATTAATTTCTTCCAAAAGAAAATTTTATCTACTTGTTCTGCAATTCTGCCTCCAAATCACCTGGGGCTGAATTAGTTCCAGTTAATAATTGTTGGCAAGCCCTGGGGTTGCTCTGGCAGAGCAGTGATTTGCCTATGAGCTTAGTCTGTCTTGGAGAAGTAATATTTCCTTCCATTCATATTTCATAATTAATTGTTTTCATTCATAGGCCACAGTCTTTCATATTGTCAGTCGCTCCTGTTGTACTCAACCAACTTTGGCTTATCATGCTTGTTTCTCTGAAGAGTTTATCAAGTAAAAAGCAAAGCAACTTTATTTACCTTACCTTCACCAAAGTGACTGTTTGGGTGTTCCAGAACAAACATTTAGCATATTATTATGTACTCCACATTGAAGATCAGGTCCTTGACAACTTCAAAGGCTGAAAAAGTCCTTTGCCGGCAATGGTCATTAAGTTCAATGGTAATCCCAGTCACTGAGAATGAGACTTGAAATGTTGGAGAAAGAGAAGGAAACTGGCTATCTTTTTCTTAGCTAAAAATAACTGTTCTTAAACATTGTAGGTTTTATGTCTGAACTGTTTGTGCATGTCAGAGCTTAAGAAGAACACCTTAGATATCATAAATTATTGAATCTGTTTAAATCATGTATTATGGAGGTAGTCATTCCTGCTTCTGGAGGTGTTCCAGCAGGAAGATACATTAATGAGGCTGTTCTAGTATCTTCAGTTTGGGGCTCCAGGCGGCAGTGCTGTATTTCAGTCAAGGAAAACATCCTTGGAATCCTGCACTGGAATAAATGTTTGCTGCTTAGGAGCCTTTTCCATATCTAAGTCCCACAGCTCTCTGTTTTTTTTGTTCTGTATAGCTTCATGTTCTGAAGAACTTAAGAGAAATCATGCATTGATTTTACTGAATTCTTCTTTTCTTTGTCCTTGATTTTAGCTCCTTGCCACCCAGACTGCTTGACCTGCTCTCACTCTCCAGACCACTGTGACCTTTGCCAAGACCCCACAAAGTTACTACAGAATGGAAGTTGTGTGCGCAGCTGTGATCTGGGATTTTACCGGGCTGGCAGTCTCTGCTTAGGTATGGCTCCAGGTGGACAGCCCAGAGGTGGTATTGTGTGGTGGACAGAGAGACTCACCAAAGGTTGTGCTTCTCAAACAGGCTCAGTCTTATCAAGGAAGGTTCATGAATGCAGAACTTTCTAGATACACGACATCTAAAACCAGTGGAAGGTGGTAATGTCATCCACATTTTCTTGGCCTTTTTACCTGAAGGTCTCTTTCTTCTAACATTTTATGGGTGTTTCAGTGTTTATTGAGATAGGTGATGTGGTGGTTGCTAGGTAGTCATAACTGGATTTTTTAACTTTTGATGACTTTCAAGGATGGTAATATCATCAGTATACTTGGTCTCATTTATTAAAATACTCAGTTAATCCAGGATAGAAGTTGAGAATTGATGAAGACTTTTAAGATCACTTAGTAGAACTTTCTAATTTTGTAAATGGGGACCTGTGGGCCACAGAAATTAACCAGTTTGCTCAATATCACACTGATAATTGGGAATAGAACTTGGCTCTTGTGGATTACCTGACGATCTGGAGTGGGCTCGTGTGAATTTCAGAATTCTTCTACATCTGAAAAAGAGATCTTACTTGGAAGAGTTTGACTTGGTTGAGGTAAAATTTTAGTTACTGTTTCTCTGATGTCTGATTTATGAGATTAATTACCCATTTTTAAGAGTGTATAAGTTTTGCTGTGACTGTGGGAATAAAGAAAAAAGTGTGTAGGTTCATATCCTGACTGTAGTAACCTTTTGATATTCTCATCTGTAAAATGCCTCAATATTCTCATCTGTAAAGTGAGGATAATCCTAGTATCTTCTTCAGAGGGTTGTTGTAGGGATTAAGTGTGTCAATACATGTTAAGTGCCTAGACTCGTGTCTAGGATTTAATCAGGACTTAATATGGGTTTGCTGCTTTTATTGTTTTTGTAATTATTCACCTCTCCCTACATTCTCTCTTGAGTTATAGAATTGTTAGCCTTTTTGAAATTTATTTCTCTGCCATAGAGTGTGGAGGAAAAGGGGCAAAAGGTTGGGATAAAAGATATTGGGGGCTATTGGATACAAAGAGAAAAGACTCCTCAGCGCAACTGCCTGGCTTTAAATGCCAGCTTCTTGTGACCTTGGACAAGTGACTTAGCCCCCTTGATCTTGTTCCTTGTTTGCAAAATTGAAATTGATAACATCTACCTCATAGGGTTGTTGTGAGAATTAAATGCACTGTTACATGCAAAGCACTTTAAGCAGTGCCCGGCATGAGTTGTGTGCTATAGAAATGATGAGTGTTAAAATTACTTTCCTGCCTTCCTGTTGTATGTGACCCCACAGCCTTAGGAGCGGACTATGTAGGCACTGGCGTGGGGATGGTGCCTCTGAGCTAATCAGTGTCCCCTTTTCTTTCTCCAACCTTATCTGGAGCTAGCCTGTCAGCCTCAGTGCTCCACGTGTACCAGCAGGCTGGAGTGTGCGACCTGCCACCCTCCCCTGCTGATGTGGCATGGACAGTGTGTGTCCACCTGTGGGGATGGCTTCTACCAAGATCATCACTCCTGTGCAGGTAATCACTGGCTGGGCCACACCCTTGCTCCCACCCACCAAGTGATCTGGGGCTGCCAGGCACTGTCAGCAGTTTTTCAAATAGGAGAAGAATCTCTAAACAAAACTCCTGATGAGATGAGAAGAACAGAGGATGAGTGAGATGACACACATTTTTATAACCTTATTAGGTTACTGTAGTATCTACATATTTTAGTAGATTGATACACTCACTTTTATTTTATATTTTTAATTAAATTGTAATTGAAGTTTTTAATATCATGTTAGTCTCTGGAGTTGGGAACTGTCATAATACAATTTAATTTGTTGCTTATACTTGACCATTTTTTCAACAGTGATTATATCACAAGTATAAATTAAGAAAGTAAATATCTAAAGAATTTTTAAAATGCAAAACTGAGAGATGAAGGTAATAACGAAAGCAAAGAAGAGGGGCAGGATGTCAACTTGTCTTCAGGAGCACGGATGATTAGCTGTGTCAAGAACCTAAGTCAGGTGTGAGGTGGCAGGTAAATCTGAAAAGGCACGTGGGCCAGTGGGAGTGTTGATGTCATTCCAGGGAGTTGTGAAAGCCACACTCTACACTGAGCCAGAAGGGCAGATCTGGGATGAGATCTGAGCAGGAGAGGGCAGATCCATGGTGAGAATCAGAAGGTGGGCCCATCTGGGCAGGAGAGGGCAAATCTTGGTGAGAATCGGAGTTGAGTACATTGAGCAAGGGAGTGCAGATCTTGGTGAGAATCAGAAGGTGGGTTCTTCAGAGCAGGAAGAGGCAGATCCATGGTGAGAATCAGAAGGTGGGTCCATCTGAGCAGAAGAGGGTAGATCTGTGGTGAGAATCAGAAGGTGGGTCCATCTGAGCAGGAGAAGACAGATCTGTGGTGAGAATTGGAAAGTAGGTCTGTCTGAGTAGAAGAGGGTAGATCTGGGGTGAGAATGAGAAGGTGGGTCCATCCGAGCAGGAGAAGGCATATCTTGGTGAGAATCGGAAGGTGGGTCCATTGAGCAGGAGAGGGTAGATCTGTGGTGAGAATTGTAAGGTGGGCCCATCTGAGCAGGAGAATGGAAATCTTGGTGAGAATAGGAAGATGGTCCATCTGAGCAGGATAGGGCAGATCTTAGTGAGAGTTGAAAGGTGGGTCCATCTGAACAGGAGAGTGCAGATCTGTGGTGAGAATCAAGGTGGGTCTGTCTGAGCAGAAGAGGGCAGATCTGTTGTGTGAATGGAAGCTTCCCCCGTCTGAGAGGAGCTGACATGAGCCTATCTCATGGCCTTGTTTAGATTTTCAGTCATCTGAAGGAAAAGTGACTGAAGTGAAGGACAGTAGGTATGTGTTTTCTCATCAGATGTGCAAGATGAACGAACCTTTGGGCCACATGCGGGTCCTATGTGGAGGAGGCTGCTAGTTCCCTCCTTTCCAGGTCATGGTCAAAAATGGAGCCCAGGGGTTGTGGAAATTGTCTTTCAGGAAGCCACAGAGGTGTGATGGTGGCAAGGCCTGCTCTGTGACCAGTCCTGTGATAGAATGTGGAAGGCAAATTGTTTCTGAGTTAGGCCCAGAAGGTCTCTGAGGTCTATGAGAATATCTTCTGACTGAGTCCTCAGTGTCAAGGGCTGTGCAAAGTGCTCAGCATTTGTTGAACAAGTGTATGGGGAAATGGATGAATGAACATACTACCCCTTGGTGGTCCATGGAAGACCCAGTGTTTCAGTAGAAGTTCCAGCCATAAAAGAGGAAAAGGCCCTTTGGTTTTATTGCTCATCATTGTTCTATTTACCTGTTATTTTAAAACAGGCTCAATGTGGGCACATACAAACACGTTTACAAGTGTCTAATGGTTGGGCAATTTAGGTAAACTGCTGAAATTTCAATTTAATGAAATTATTGAATGTACTCTTTACGCCTGTCTTCTATCCCACCAAAGAGACCTCCTGCTGGCACTCTGGTTGCAGATTTGTCTCTAAAAGGGAATTGGTTCCCCCACAGATTGTGTGCTTCCTCTACACCACCTCACCTCCATCCTACAATATACACATATCACATACATATCTACTTTTTGGGGGGTGTTGCCATTTTGGTTTCTCCCATGCCCATTGTTTTAATTGGTGATGCTAATACTGTTTTAGGGCATTTTGAAATGGATAATGTTTCATTTGATTACTGGTTTATGTAGCTGACTGCTTCACATTCCATCCACATACCCACACACAAATGCCTCTAGTAGAAAGTTGCTGGGAAAATTTGTTCATGCTCCCTCCAGGGAATTAAACCAATTTGCTTTAGTTCAGGCTGGTTGCATTTTTATGCATAAAATAAGGAGAAAAAACAGAGCAAGAGGAGAGAGAGTCTGTGTGATTTTAAAAATTAAAGCTAAATTTGTGATCAATTTCCATATACCATCTTTGTACTAAGATCATCTTTCAAAATAAGCTTCTTCAGCATTGGAATTTTTTGCTATATTCATTCTTATGCCATTTTTGGTGATTTTTCATCACTGACCTTGGAAGTCAAACAGTCAGCTGGTGTTCTTCCAATGCATGCAAAACTTTTCAAAAGAAGCTTGCCATTTTGTGGTAACAATAGGTTTTTCTGGATTGATTTCTTTTGGCAGAGTCATTTATGCTATGATTGGGATAAGTTGCCACTTTATTGACCCATCAAAACCAAAAGAAAGTGAACACTGTGCTGAGAAAACTAATTACGAGAAATCACCTGATTAATATTCATGCTCACTATGTTGAATGTAGGCAGAGTGGAATAGAAATGAGCACATAAACGTGTCTCTTCCACAAAAGAATACAAGCGGGTCAATCAGAAAGGTTGAAGGAAGACACCAAGTCCTGCCGGAGAGTCTTGTCTGCCGGGGCCCTTCCCATTCTCCCTTTTCCCTTGGGCTTGGGGGCATGTGCATATTCACACATATGCATACAAATGTGTGTGCATATATTATTGTTGTTATATCTCATGCTTGATTACTCTAGATAATGTGATTATAGACCCTGTTATGCACCCCGTATGGGTCACAGCCTTATTTCCCTTGCCTTCCCTAACTGTGAAGTTGGATGCTTTGGTCACTTTACAGTAAGGCCCAGCACTACCCAGTTTTTATACAAACTTAAATCGGAGCTATGTAGGTGGCCTTTTTTCCACAGCAGGCAGGGCCACAGAGTAATCACCCCGTTAGGAGCAGAAGCTGTCATTTTTGTGCTGGCACCCAGATCTCTGCCTTAACCCCTAAGCATCCTTTGCCACCAGCTAGACCTGGATAGTGTCCCTTCTTGCCCGCTCCCATGACTCTTCTCGAGTCCATGGTCCTTGGGTATTAGGACTGGCCTTCTCCCTGTCCTGTTCTGACCCACTTACAGAATTAACAACCCATCTCAGAACTTCCTGCAGCCTAGTAGACTTTATCCATGTGTGGCTACTCCTTACTTCTCACCCTGCCCCCTTCCCCACCACAGTACTTGAACGTGTACTTTCCTGCATGACTCTTTGGTACCACTTTCCCTAGATATGCTCTGTTCTCTTTACCAGAGTCGTGATTCTATTGCCTTATGTTTGAAATCGTCATATAAAATCTAAATCTGGGTCTGGAGTGAACTCTCCAGTCCCAAAAACATTCTTCCTTGCTTGTCTTACCACTCTTTTCAGTCAATCTCTGTCCCACTCTGCTGGGACCAATGAACTGTGTATGCCAATTCTAGATATGAGAGCCCATAAGAAGAAAAGCAAAAACAACCAACACCACACACCATGCAAGATTAGATTGAAAGGAGTAGCTTGTAAGATTGTAGACTTTGACTAGATTGAGTAGAATTTAGCCCATTTGTAGTATGTGTATCCATGTTTGTTTTGTCTACTTAAACCTTATTCACAAAGGCCTAAGGATGGAGTCATGTGAATCTCGTGGCAAATGTTGCCTTCATTCTGCAGGCACAGAGGTGGGAGGAAGTGTGTCACCATGGTTAAGAGCTTGGGTCCTAGAGCCAAAGCCCCTGGCTTGCGATCTTGCCTCTGTCACATATTATTTAACTCCATGCTTCAGCTGTCTTGTGAATAAAACCAGGACACTAATATCTGCACATCACATTGCTGTGAAGATTTGGTGAACTCAGGTGTCTCGTTTGTAAGATGGTGCCTGGTAAGCCCTTCGTACAAGTTAAGAGGTTTGGATTTCTACTTTCCATTGTCCTTTTCCCCATTGTTCCCTCTTTCATTCTCTTTTGACCACTGTTCTAGATACTGAGGAAATGAAGATAAATAAGATTCAGTCTTTGCTTAAAGTGAGCTTACCATCATGGCAGGTTAGCTGTTGCTTTCAGAGATGCAAGAAGCACACACACACAAAAAAAACCCCAAAGTTCTTTGAAACTTATTCTATATCTGAGTGCTGTGTAGTCTTAGGTTTTGAAACTTAAAAATCAAGCAATTGAACATTTTATAGGATTGTGAAGGATGGGATTATTTTGAGTGTAAACTCTACCACTTATTGCAATAGGGCTCTAGGCAAGTTATTTAACCTCTATGAACCTCAGTATCTTCAAATAATAAATGGGGTGATATTACCTACTTTAAAGCATTGTTATGAGGGTTAGTAAAGATGTTTGAAAAGTATCAATATAATATGTCTGGCACATAATATGTGGACAATAAAAGGCAGCTATTGACATTATTGAGGTCATCCCTTTATTTTTATTTTTCATCCTATGGAGATGAAAACCAAATAGCTTACATTGGGCAACAAAGAGTTTTGTACCATTAATGTCTGATTTAAAATAAAATCTACTTTTATATGTTATGGAGAAGTAAATATAATACAGAGAACAGTTTACTATATTCTTGAAAACAAATTAAAATCCTTTTATTTTCTTTAAAATAAAATGCTCAGATTAAATGATAAATATCTGTAATTATTTGTTTCTTAATCAATATTGTGATATATTTAGAGGAAAAGTTTACAGTATGGGATGTTGACCTAGTTGAGATTTAAAAACTGTAG